ATTTACTTTTGTTCAATTTATTCCGGCGTTATTTTTTTTCTGCGCGTCCAGCCCAACACGAAAATACCTGCGACGATTCGATCTTAGCTGCCTTATGATCAACCTTAAAACACAACGTGGGACAGAGCAGGTCTGAGATCAAAGTGATCTTCATCGATCAGACGCGGAAGTCTTGAACGACCGGGGAGGATGTTGTACGTTTACAACATTTTCCTGGTTTCCTGTGCATATTTAAATATTAATTGTCCAATATCTAAGTACTTTCGATCTTCATAAGCCATTGTCAAATTCATTGTTCATGTAAGAGTGTTATCTTTTCATTATCACAAAAAAATAAATAAAAATCTCTAACATGATCACCACTACCAATAGCAGATAAAATCAGAACTTCAGCAAACCAATTTTGTCTTTGAATTGCTCACTTGGAAAATAACTCTCTAATATAATAATAATTCAAACAACGCAAAAATTGGTTACACAACCACGATGTTATCGCACCGATTAACGTGCCATTTATCTGATAATTTTCCAAATGAATTGCATTTCATCAACCAAGAGAGAAAAAAAATCAGAACAAAAAACCCTTACCAATGACACAAACACAAAATATCAAAAACGACTACAAATACACGGAGTATTTCGCATAAAAAAAATAGACCAAACCCAACATCAACAAAATGTTATAAAATTTACTAAATATATTTCATAAATAAATAATAATAGGATGACAGGAATCCTCGCGTGAACACATGAAGATGCGATATTTGAAAATGAAAATTATGATTCTGGCTCAACACAAAAAGAAACGCTTTTGCGTTATGGCTTATGAAAGGTGAAATTACTCAGGCAATTTATATTTAAATATGTAGCGGAAACCGGGAAAATGATCTAAAATATAGAAAATTATCATGAAAAAAACACTTTATCAGGGAGAACATTCGTTGGCCATTAACCAAACTAGTGTAAATTAAAAATTGTTGCCCAGCTGCACCCAGTAGATAGATAGATAGATAGATAGATAGATAGATAGATATGAACACAATAGTATAGGAAGATAGATGGGAATAGAATCGAATAGATAGATAGATAGATAGATAGATAGATAGATAAGGAACGTGATTGCATATATAGATAGATAGATAGATAGATAGATAGATAGATAGAAACAGAAAGAGAGACATGATAGATAGATAGATGATAGATAGATAGATAGATAGATAGATAGATATGAACGCGATTGTATAGGAAGATAGATGGGAATAGAATCGAATAGATAGAGAGAGATGAGAGACATTAGATAGATAGATAGATAGATAGATAGATAGATAGATAGATAGGAACGTGATTGTATAGATAGATAGATAGATAGATAGATAGATAGGAACGTGATTGCATATAAAGATAGATAGAAATAGGATCATAGATAGATAGATAGATAGATAGATACAGAAAGAGAGAGAGAGATAGATAGATAGATAGATAGATAGATAATCAACAAAATGTGATAGATAGATAGATAGATAGATAGATAGATAGATAGATAGATAGATAGGAACGTGATTGCATATGAAGATAGATAGGAATAGGTTCATAGATAGATAGAAACAGAAAGAGAGAGATGATAGAAATAAGATAGATAGATAGATAGATAGATAGATAGATAGATAATGAACAAAATGTGATAGATAGATAGATAGATAGATAGATAGATAATGAAGAAAATTAGATAGATAGATAGATAGATAGATAGATAGATAGATAGATAGATAGATAGATAGATAATGAACAAAATTAGATAGATAGATAGATAGTCTTGTTCAAAGTAATTCTGCTTCAGCTAAGAGATAATGTTCTTTGGGCATTAGTTTATATACATAAAGAAAAAGAAATCTTGTGCACCAGCTCCCACCTCCCTTACTAAAATATAGTAAATGCGGCATATTTGAAAACACCCTTCCACATAGGATTCCTCAAATAACAAAATTTACGAAGCTGAACGAATGCCAATTGGTTCAAGGATTGATCGTTTTTCTCTGCATCTCTGTAACGGACACAAGATCGAGACCAACGCCCTGTTTATTCAAGAACTTCCTAAATAAATATAAAAGAGGACGGTTCTTGCTTCACTGAGGGCATTGCCACTGTCTTTTCCTCTTTGGTTATTCGCAACATTATCACTTGAATTATTTGGCCTTTGAGATCAATTATATACGACCAATTTATGGGCTCAAATCTAAACCCAACCTATGTTTAACTATAGCCTCGGTTATAAAAAAACACGTAGTCTCAGGTATAAAGAACAAACCCTATATCAACCTACTAACACAAATATATATATGACCTATTTCTACCTATAGACCCAAGTATAAACACAACATATGTCCGATTACTGACTCAAATATAAACACAACATATGTCTGATTACTGACTCAAATATAAACACAACATATGTCTACCTACATACACAAATTTAAACACGACCTCCATCTACCCATTGACTCAAATTTATACACGACCAATGCCTACTTGCGAACTAAAGTATAAAATAACCTACATATGGACTCAAGTATAAACAGGACATATGTATACCTATAGACTCAAGTATAAACAGCACCTATGCATACCTATAGACTGAAGTATAAACACACCTATGTATACCTATAGACTCAAGTATGAACAGCAACTATGTTTTCAGAACAAACTTAAGAAGTATCTGTCTATATAGACTCAAGTATAAACAGCACCTATGTATACCCATAGACCCAAGTATAAACAGCACCTATGTATACCTATAGACTCAAGTATAAACAGCACTTATGTATACCTATAGACCGAAGTATAAACAGTACTTATGTATACCTATAGCCTCTAGTATAAACAGAACCTATGTATACCTATAGACTCGACTATAAACAGCACCTATGTATACCTATAGACCCAAGTATAAACAGTGCCTATGTATACCTATAGACTCAATAAAAACCCAGCCTATATCTACCTATAGACTCAAATATAAACATTCCCTAGCTATGGGTTTAAGTATAAATACAACCCTTTTCTACATATAGGCACTATAAACATTCCTTTTCTGCTTATAAGCACAAGTATGAACGCTGCCAAATGCCTCAAGTATGAACACGTCCTATTCATTCCTATATAAAGATGACTTACGTATAAACTCAAGCATAAGAACAACTTACATATAGATTAAAAAATAATATGAAAAACAGATTTCGATATTAAATAAGATTGATATAACGTTAAATCCACACACCAACCAGCTACCAAACGTTAGGAGCCTGCCGTGGGGTCATGATTAACAAGTGACTCACTCCCTAATATCGCGAGTTTGACCCTCAACAGATGCCCCTCTCTATCTGTCTATATTTCTGAAATGAGGCATTATGTACCCTATTTACATTATTCGGACTATTGTCCTCATCTTTGTTGCCATATTTATCACAGCGTTTCGGCCGTTGTAGGCTTCGGCCTTCTTCAAGGACACATGACACAGTGGATAAAGGCGTTAGTTAGATCCAGTGACAAGACCCAAAGAGTTGTGAGTTCAATACCTGGTTAAGGCGGTGTAGAACTTGGAGAGGAAAATTAACAGGAGATAACTGATAACTGACATCGATTAGACATGGCACTTGGAACTAGAACAGTCTACCCCAGTGAGCTTCAGTTCGACGTTCCAACCACCTGAAGAAGGCCGGAGCGTACAACGGCCGAAATATTAAGATAAATATGGCAACAAAGATGAGAACAATAGTCCAAATGATGTAAGTAGATGCTCCACTGTTTTCAGAACAAACTTAGGAAGTATCTGTCTATATTTCTGAGATGAGGTATTATGCACATTGTTTACATTATCCACTGTGCCATGTGTTCTTGAGGACACATGGCACAGTGGATAAAGGCGTTGGTTAGATCCAGTGACAGGACCCAAAGTCTGTGAGTTCAATACCCGGTTAAGGCGGTGGAGAACTTGGAGAGGGGAATTAACAGGAGATAACTGATAACTGACATCCATTAGACATGGCACGTGGAACTAGAACAGTCTACCCCAGTGAGGGAAATAAATGCTTCAGTTCGACATTCCAACCACCTGAAGAAGGCCGGAGCGTACAACGGCCGAAATGTTGAGATAAATATGGCGACAAAGATGAGTACAATAGTCCGAAAAATGTAAATAGATGCCTCTCTGTTTTCAGAACAAACTTAAGAAGTATCTAAAAGGACGGTTGCTTAAAATACAGTGTTTGTTTTAACTTGTCAAATAACGGATAATCGACGCAGTGCAGCTTACGATTATTATTAGTGAAAGACTAGCATTAATAGTGTAACCTAGCATTTTAATATCAACTGTCAATACAAAATATCCAGGAGTGGGCAAGGAAAAAAAAAAATGGCTGTGCTTGTTATTTTTTTGGAGATGAAGATTTTCATAAATAACAAACCGTGGTGATACATCATTATTTGTGCTGCTGCATAGACGGACATGAAGCTAGTGTCATAGCGTGGGTGGTGCGATTATAATGACGAAGTCGATGGTCATAGAGTGAATGCTAGAGGCCATGTCACAAAGGTGGGGAGAGCAAAAAAAAAACACCAACGGAAAAGGACAACAGATGTTTGGTTGACTGGCGATGTTAACGAGTCATCTTTCGATGGATCGACCAAAATGAGCATAGCATGGTAAAAAAATAAATAAATACAAAAGTAAAAAGAAAATGGCGCGTTGATCATATAAGTGCAAAAGCATGTACCTTAGCGAACATCGCAAAAATTATGGAGTTAGTCATGATTAAAGGGAGGAACGGAAAGAAAGCAGTGCGCAGGCTTTGGCATCGGGGTCGTCGTGGCATATTTAACATTGATTCTTCGGAAAGACAACAAATACAACATTTATTCTTTAAAAAAACAGGAAAAAGAGATAATGAAAAAAAAATCAAGTTTTGTAAGCATTGCCATTTTTCGATATCAGAAAAAATTACCCTATGGAAAATCTCTCTCTCTCTCTCTCTCTCTCTATCTATCTATCTATCTATCTATCTATCTTTCTTTCTTTCTTTCTTCCTCCCTTTCTCTCTGTCTCTCTCTTTCTATCTATCTCTTTCTTTCTTTCTTTCTTCCTTTCTCTCCATATATATATATATATATATATATATATATATATATATGTGTGTGTGTATGTATATATATACATTTATAGATACACATATTTATATATATATATATATGAATATATATATATATATATATATATATATATATATATATATATATATGAAGAGATATAGTTTTAAGGTGTGCTATATTTACGGGATAAAGTGCTCAATATCAGAGGTAGAGCGTATGTAAATATAAATATAAAAGTGAACATTGAAGTCAACACTAGAGGCGACACCCTGTTTCATGCGAGACGCAATCTTCAGGAATATATATATATATATATATATATATATATATATATATATATATATATATATATATATATATATATATCCAAGTATAGGATTAGTGTTTACGGAATAAATTCAATAACCAAAAAATACTATTATTAAAAGAGTGCTCAATACAGAGTAGAGCAAATATAATTTATTCGAAAATAATTTGTGATTTTATAACATATTTATGTTATAATTTTCCCTAAATTATATATATATATATATATATATATATATATATATATATATATATATATATATATATGTATGTATGATATATGCGCGGTACTTATTGGAAAGTTTTCCAATATCAGTGATGTTAACATATTCAGTTTATAGATATTTTTATGATCATCAGACAAAGTTTGTCTGATGATCACAAAAGCGTGAAACCCAGGGTCACAAACTCATATCTATAACTGAATATATATATATATATATATATATATATATATATATATATATATATATATATATATGGAGGTGCGAAAGGGAGGGTGGGCGTAATTACGTCGATAAGTCTGCAGGCTAATGATAGAAAAAATAAACTTGTTTTATACAAAAAATTCATTTGTCAACATAAATTCATTCCTTTTCAATGCACTTAATTATGTAGTGAATATAAATGACATAGTCTGAACAATATACATTGAAATTTCATATATATATATATATATAATTTATATTAAGTATATACTATATATAATATGGAATACTTTATTATAATTCTGTTTGTCCCTCCCTTAGTTGCTGAGCACGTATATAGGTTACGCCCTCCCAATGCCTCATAAATAATGGACTAATCCGTTTTGATCGCAGAGAAAGACGAAAAAGACATATCGGAGACGCTGTTTAATTTCAAGAGAAAAAGAATGAAAGAAAAAGTATGAAAGAAAACAAAATTTATAAGTATATTATAATGTGCATAAAAATGTATAATATATAAATATAGAAAAATACAAAAAATAATGTCTCATATATTACATATATGAATATATAATGTGTGCATATATTTAAAAATCAGTAAGAACATGCCAAAAATTTACATCACCTAGCGTCCTCCATAGTTTTTCTTTCCTCGACGTCAAGAAAGTATTGAATATTTTGGAGCGCTGTCTAAGTCAAAGTTGAACATATAGCTATTTTATCGCAACGTTCTTTTTGCGTTTTCTATGTGTGTAAATACAGCTTTTTAAATAAATAAACTTCTTTTCTTAATAAAGTTCCTCAATGAAACGGGTCGGCATAATAGAATTGTATCTTGCCATTACTTTTATTAACACATATAATTCTAAAGAATTAATGGAGTTGTTTTTGACCCGATATTTTTATTACTTCAATCGTTATTATAGTGGATACTCGTATTTGAAATAGACGCCCGGGTTACTGAGATTTCTCAAAAGTACAAACAGGGGTATCAACTACATAAAGTTTGAAGTTATATTCTGAATTATGTTCTCTTGAATAAAGCCACGAGGACGCAAGAGGTTACTGTGTTTTAGCGAATATGAGATTAAATTCTTGAAGGTCAAAGTTGACTGGAAAGAAAGAAGTCGGAAGAGAGTTCCACAACTAAAAAATGCGATTGAATAAAATTGTTAGCATAGAAACTACGGTTGCATCTTGCCATTCCAACTGTAAATTGATGATACCCTACCGCCATTCCAGTACTGTCCTTAAATTCATAAAGTCTAGGTGCAATAGAGCAAAGTAATATTTATTTTAATAAAAAATGTGGCACAAGGCTAAAAGGTGGGATAAGGGAAAGGCTGGTCTTCAATCTGTCTTATTTTAAACTGACCTAGCCACGATTACTGACCCAAACATATCTCAGTGTCTTTTACACCCTTACAACACATTATTACTTGCCATTCTCGCTACAGTTACCATAATACCTCAAAGTCTCTATGAAGTTCTAATTCCAATCTATAAAATTTGTCCGTGGAGGTAGGGAAGAAAATGACAACATTTAAAAAGAGGAAAGTTCATCAGAACAATTACCATGAAATTATTCATAGAAAAGATACAGGGAAGTTACGTAGGAAGCTAC